GCGATTCGTTATTAACTAGTTATTCATGCTTTTATAACTAATTTCTATAACTAATTATAACTAATTATACCTAATTATAACTAATTATTCATGCTTTTATCACTAGTCGTTTAGACTATTGTAATGGACTCTTGTATGGCCTTCCTAAGTCGCAAATAGCCAACTTGCAACGTGTGCAGAATGCCGAGGCTTGACTTGTACTGAGTTTAAGAAAGTATTCGCATATTTGTCCTGCGCTTTGTCAACTTCACTGTTACCAGTACAACATCGTGTTCATTTTAAGATCATAATTTTAACAATTAAAGCTATTCATGGATGGGCGCCTAAGTATATCATTGAACTAATTAACATCAAGCCTAGGTCTGTATACAATCTTAGATCAAATCAACGTTTATTACTTGACCCTCCTAAGGGAAAAATGCTTGCCACGTTGGGGGACAGATCATTCTCTGCTGCTGCCCCATACTTATGGAATGCTCTGCCAGCTGAATTACGTGATATTCAATTATTTTCCATTTTTAAATGTAAGCTGAAAACTTATTTATTTCGTGCAGCTTCCTCAAAGTACCCTGTCTGACAATTACTTTATTAATATTACTAATTAAGTTTGTTATTAAGATCTTATTCCTAATTAAGATCCTTATTATGGATATTCCATATCAGTATATACTAAAACAGTGGATAGCGTTGAAGGCGCGCTCTGATTGGCTAATCAAACTCCGAATATCCTTTGCTATTTACCTCCGAGCAACTCGGGAAAAAATGGCGCCCCGGTTTGCATCCGTGACAAGCGAAGAAATCGCTCAAATTCACGACGGTGGTGTATATTATCTCACTGTTTTAATATATACTAAAAAATATAAAACAACTATTCACCTCAGTGTCGGTGGTTAGCGGTGGATATTTACCTCGCCGCTTCGCGGCTCAGTAAATATCCACCACTAACCACCTCCACTTCGGTGAATAGTTGTTAATCATTCTTATTTTAACATACATTGCTGATATTAATGTACATGTAATTAGTTTTATAAATTTGAATTTACTGCAGTATTCTAAGTTGTTAAGAGCTGTTGATCATTGAATGAAAATAGCGCTCTATAAGTTATTAAATTAAATTAAAATTAAATTAAATACTGTGGGATTTTGATTTTCTTCGAGGGCTAGCTCCGGTCAGTTTGGATGGATTTTCAATTGGAAGGTACGAGGAGAATCGTGCATCGTTTGACCTTAATGCTGCGAATTTTGAAAGCGGAGCGATGCGATTTTCCGGGAGAATATCGCTCGGGCGCCTAAACCCTTTCAAAACAAGGCCTAGCCCCTTGTCTTTCTTTTATGCATTACATTAACGACGAACTCAGACTTATTCAAAATCGCTCAAAAAAAACATTTTTGAGGCCAAAGGACAACTATACACCACAAGTAAAGTAATTAAACGTTTATTTATCAATGATTTATGTACATAGTCAGCAATATATCACTATAAGTGAGGCAAACGGTAAATCTGGTACATTCACTATATAAAACAACAGTTGGCTACACAAACAGATTGTATGGGCCCCCTGTCCTGTTTTTTAACAAGTGCGCTGGCTTCCACCGCCCCAAGTGCAGCCTTATCTTCGATACCGTTCGGCCTACGCCTCTACCTTGCTGTTTGTAACTCACAGGGAAAATTCAAGCTCTGTAAAATGAAGTTGTGGTCAACTGCTGTCATACTTCTCTCCATTGGGCTTTCCACTGGTGAGTAAAAGTTAACAGGTGCACATTTTGTATCTGGAGCGAGAGACGAGAAGCTTTGCATCAAATATGATGGTGGAGTTTTTGTTTAGTGACAAAGAGTTAAGAAAAATTATAAAAATTTGATTTGAGGTAAGGGAAAAGGAAACAACTGACACCCTGAAGAGACTTCGACCTTCGTGAAAAAGATCAATCCACCAAACAGGACTTGACGTTGTGCCAGTTTCAGTGTAGCACTAAAGCAGTCTTCCAAAGCTGACAATCTAAATCAAGATTTGAACTTCAACAAAAGCAGAACCCTAGTTTCAGTACCTTATTTCCGAAATCCTTGATTTATTTTCCTTTAAAAGACGCGAGTTCTTCCCGTTTTGAGGTATGCATTTTTCGACTCGAAACCTGTTTATGCCATTTATATGCCCTCGCAAAATTTTTCTTAGTTGTTGTAGCTAGGAACTGTGGTACAAAATCATATTTTCTAGATCAGTAATGCACATAGTTAAACTGAATTTCCAAATATTGGCGCTTTACATGTTCACGGCTTTTTCTCCGTCGATTTGCAAACCTATATCCGTCAAACATTTACAGGCGCTCTTTCATATTCGCCTCGTCATAATAAAGTATATTTCCACCCAGGCCTTAGGAAGAGGATTAAAAGCGGTCCCTTTTTGTCTAATTATTCATGCGCGCTTTTTGCTCACATAGAAGTATATTAAACTCCTAAATAACCTTCACCCTGGAAAGCGGACGCCATATTTCCATAATTGTCTGCAACACAACTTGCGACTCCGTGGAAAAAAAAAACAATATTAACTTGAAAATNGAGTCCTGATAGCTCTGTTACAATCGCGAAGTATGTCGAACTTCCTACAGTTCATGAATACTGTGTGGACTTAGTGCATTTTAAATATAAACTTAAAAATTCATCTACATAACCGATAACAGGGCGCATGGCAGTAACAGGATTCCGCTGGTTTGGAGCACTGCGCCAACATTGCAGTTGTTATTATCATCGCAACAATGGATGTCACAGATGGTGGTGTTCTTGAAGAGATGCTTTTTACAATCATAATGGTTTTCCTCTAAACACCACTCCGGTGGCAGACAATCTTTCTGAAAATTTTCCTTCCCGTCAATATTGATGTACACCTTGCCGCATTTATATTCAGTCTTGCATGTCTTACTTGTCTTCCGGCAATGACCCCAAGAAAACTGAGATTCACAAGAATAGCAACTTAGAGCCAGCACTGAAAGACGAATTAAAAAATTGTTTTCGTTCATCCCTGCTGCCTTCCACTGAGACCAAACCTTTTGGTCTCGAGTTCACAGAAATTACTATTTATCTTGTACCATTTTCAGACTTGAATCTATTCCAAAGATGGTGGTACGATAAAACAAAGACTCAGTTATCTACGAGCCACAGATTTTAGTAATAGGCTGCGAAACGGATCGATCCTCTATTCTTCACCCAAGAGCTGTACAAAGATTTGACATTGTCATTTTTTAGCTTAAATATTCCATATTTTTACCCTCTGGTGTCAAACATTACGATTATTTTAGTCTCCATAACTATTCAAAGTGTCATGGTGGCCGGAAAGTAAATTGGGAAAATTTGTACGATACTATCAAAGAAAGGTTGTAAGATGACTTAAGAAAAAATGTGAATAAGCTCATAACTGATGAAACAAGTGAAGTCATATTTTCACGCAATTTGCAAGTTTTTCCTACAAATGAAACATTTAATAGACTACGAACTTTCGGGGTACGAGGCAGCTAAAAAGTCGTGTTTTAAAAGTTGAAAGATTTAGATTTTGTCCATGTTGTAACCCTCAAAAACGGTGTGAATCCTTGCAAAAGTGTTAGGCAAGAAATACTCGAGGGAAGTTTAGAATAGTCAGTAATTATTGAGTTTTGTAGAATGTAAACGTTCACAAAAAAAAGGCTAAAGTAGTTGAAACCGGTAGATAACAGTTGCAGCACAGCAAATTGAAGTAAGGTTTGAAACAAACATGGTTACCGGGTATCAGTCAGTCGATTTTTTTCCATCGCATATCACTTGTAGTGATACAGCTAGCTTACCTTTGGGAAGTAGCAGGTAGAAAAGACAGGAGAAAAGTCGCCATTGTTTCATGTTTCTTTCGTTTGGTTTGTTTCAAAATTAAAGAGTGACTCAATGCTGGAGGGATCACAAAGCAACAGATGGCGAGCAGAAGGAATCCATTTAACGCAATCATGGCGCTCACGATTCAACCGGCCAATGAGAACTGGGGTCAGTAAAGATAGAGAAGCAATTGTCAGATCTTGACACTTTAATAAAAAACTGATAGGAAAACCTTGCCGAGCTTTTTGTTTTCAGGGGCTGGTATATTTCAAACCGCATGACGATCGCTATACATACATGCATATGTTAATTGACCACTCCCCATGAGGGCTTTTCAGGGACAATTTCCACCCATCAACCACCCCAGGGAAGGACATCCATCACACAGTAATCTCGTGCATGGGAAATTAACGTCTCCTACCCCTAACCCTGCAGGAGACGGGACTTCCAATTATTCGTCCCTATCCGAGAAGACAAGAGTATCTAACCATCTCTCAATAGAAAGGTAGCATATTCTTCTCACTTGTTTTAAGACCTTGAGTGTTGGTCCGGCCAGGGCTCGAACTCTCGACCTCCCGCACAACAGTCCAGCGCTCTATCCATTGAGCTAACTGGGATGCGTTATAGTTTTTACGAAAATTAGAAACTATAATAGAACTCATCGAAGTTATCATTGGTGAATTTCATGATCATTTTGAAATCAAAAGCTCCAATTAAATCAAAGCCGGCGAGCTTCCGGTGGAACCTAGTGGAATTGGAGCACTGAGTTTCACACAGCAAACAAGGGCTTAAAATAGATGTGAGGAAAAGGTAAC